TCTATCCCCTTTATTTCCGATTGCTTAGGTGAAGTTATCGTATATAGTATCCGGCATAGATGGGCAGATAAAAGGTGCAATGCAGACGAGTTTTTTTGAGTACGATAGGCACGAAATGTATGTCCGTGGGGACTGCTGCCCGCTACAACGACGACGTCACGAGAATCGAGGAAATTCGTGAGCCAGGGAGAGTGTAGCCAATCTAGGGGGTGAGGGGTGTGGGCAGTTAACAGTTGGAAATGTGGATTGTTTCCATAGCGTCTCGTCATAGCATGGACATCCGTCCCTACGTACATACATTTGCGCCCATCGTAATCAAGAGGTTGGCTTGCCCATCCCACTAGCATTGAACCAAATGAAAACGTTTATCAGAATTTCTGAGATGTTCATCTTGAGGGGTTTGCACACTGTTTCCTAGACATAACCACCTTTGATCAACTAAGCAAAGGTCCATGTTGTAGTGGTAGCGTTGAAGTACGAAGCACTTTTCAATAAGGCAGAAACGACAACTTATAAAATGTGTCGGAAAGGGTAAAAATCTATCACAGCGTTGCTAGAGGAGAGACGTGTTATTGGTAAAGCCCCAGGTGATAATTGTTTCCGTTTCTAAATGCTGGACAAGATTGTGCTATGACAGTCAGGTTCCTAGAACACAAGCACTATTTCCACATTAACACAACGCGTGGTTTGGCTTTTTTGCCACAAGAGTCAGGCGCGGTATTTTGAGCCCGGCTGTCTTGCCTCACCTTTGTATTAAACACGAAGGAAGTCTACACTACAGACTTCACAACACAAGTGATGACGACTTACGAAGTAAATCTGATAACAGTGGTTCATAGTGGTAGCTGACAGTTGTAATTAGTGACAGCTGGTAGAATACAAGTGCAACCGGCTAATCTTTTCCTGGGCAGAGAACTACAACATTTTCTTTGCCGACAGTCGTAACTTTCATTGTGAGTCCGCAGTGGGCACGCACCTGGCTGCTGAATACAAAAGGGTTCTTGATTTTGAACGATGAATACAGAAAACATAGATGGCACTGAATCATTTTTGCGATGGCTAAATTTCGCAGGTGCTGCGTCCTTTCATGTCATCATGGAACCGTGTTTTGTGCGCGACAGCGTACGGCACCAAACGATGTTACAAAAGAATAACTATGGGTATCAGATAAGCTTTTGCAACTAGCATATCAAATGCCGTTTTGCAGAATCCTAATCAACACAATACGCAAGTGGCATGGTCTTCGTCATCGGCCGACGACATACATACCGCTCAACCATCGCTGGCCACATTGTCATCATCGCCAAAATTATCTCATCTAACAGCAAGTTTCGAATCTGCGTTACCACCACCTATTTTACAAAATGACGTCATTGCTTCGTTGCCTAATTGTGTGGTCGAGTCGGCTAGACGAGCATCGTCGCATGAACCAGGGAGTTTTCCGTGAGTTCGTTTGTCAAGTTATTTTCTGCTGTCTAACCCCATCATGGGTCAGCAACATAATTTTCCTTTTTCTCCGAGAGTTATTTTCTCTCACAAGGGTTTTTTATTCTCAAAAATGTCCATACTCAGCATGCTTGTGCTGCTTTTCGCCACGTGTTGATTTAAAAAAAATCAAAAAAGGTGGAACATTCAGTTCTATTTATGACAGTATTATTTTCAGCCAGCTGGCCAAAGCTCCAGGTGACGTATCCATGAGTCCACACCAGCTGATACTATGTTTGTCAACAGCAAGCAAAAAGCTCTCACCGGTATGAGATACATGTATTTTATATTTTCACCGTTTTTTTTTCTGTAGTTTTTTCCACCTGATACTTATTCATATCGATGATCGGATTTGGCGGATTTGCGATTAGACTTTTCAGAATATATATCGAGGCGTTCAATTAC